GCTCTGCTTCAGCTGCCCAGGGTTGCGCCGGTTGGAACCCTGGGTGCAGACGTGGCACTGCTCGTCAGGCCATGCTGAGGCCGTGTCCCATGTGCCACAACTGGAAGGACCCACAAGCAAAAATACACAACTATGTACCGGGGGGCTTTGGGAGAAAAAGGAAAAATTAAAAAATCTTTAAAAAAAAAAACATATCCACAATAGCTAAAAAAAATTAACAATGATTCCCAAATATAATCCAATATTCAATCAAATTTTCCCACTAAAAAAATAGTTGATTGTTCTAATCAAAGTGCAAACAAGTCCCAAGCACTGCCTTTGGTTGATCTGTCTCTTAAAACTCTACAAATCTGTAGGTTCCCTTTTCCTCTTTCTTCTCCTTGAAATACAGTGTTGAAGAACACAGGCTGTGTATTCTATAGAGTTTTCCACATTACATATTTTGCAGATTACATCCCCAAATCATCATTTAACATATTCTCTGTCCTTTTGAGTCCTGTAAACTGGTAGTTAGAGCTAAAGGTTGACTTTATTGCTTTTCTGGTAAGAATGTTTCATTGAGGATTGTGTTATGCTTGCTTTGCTAGCAGCCATTGATTATCATTGCCTAGATCTATTATTTCATTAGGCATTACCACCCTCCCATTTTGTTTTTGTGTTATTCCCTTTTGTCCTTTTGACAAGACCAGGCTGAATATTGTAGAGATTGTCCCCCTGGATTTGTTTGATTGTTTCACATGTCATTTAACTTGTTCCTTTGTCCCCTCAGAGTTCCTGTAAACTGGATGTTACAGCTTAAATCTTTTCTTTTCTTTTTTGTTTTTTTGGTGAGGAAGAGTGTCCCTGAGCTAACATCTGTGCCAGTCTTCCTCTATTTTGTATTTGGGATGCCGCCACAGCATGGCTTGATGAGCAGTGTGTAGGACCATACCTGGGATGTGAACCCACAAACTGTGGGCTGCCAAAGTGGAGTGCACGAACTTAACCACTACACCACGGTGCCAGCCCCACAGCTTAAATCTTGATTAGATTCAAGTTAATGTTTTTGGCATGATTACTTCATAAGTGGTATTGTGTACTTCATGTTACACCATGTTAGCAGATGCATATTGCCTGCATGCACTTATTTTGAAGCTCCCTCTCCAAATCACGTTGATACCCATCAAAATGTACCCGCATTCCACGTTAAAAGAATTTGGCTGTAACCTTTTTAAAGGCTTTTAAAATAATTTAATAATTTTAAATTTAGTTAAGACTAAATCTTTCATTTTGTTTCTGGAATTTAAAATTGATTATATATCTATATCTATATCTATATGAGATGGTTTTCAGTTGATTGGTTAATATAAGCTTATTTTTGTAGATTTTTTTCCTTTTTATTATGAAGAATTCCTAACATATACAAAGGTAGGCAAAACAGTATAACGAACAGTTCTCCTATTTTCGTCACCCAGCTTCAGCTTATATGGTCAATGTTGTTTCATCTAGCTCCCTATCCATTTCTCCCTTTCTGTATTATTTAAAAAAATTTTTATGAGATAAAATTCACCCTTTTCAAGTGTACACTTCAGTAGCTTTTAATATATTCACGAAATTGTGCAACCATCATCACTATCTAATTTCAGAACATTTTCATCACCCCAAAAGAAACCCTGTACCCATTCCTCTCCTCCCCCAGCTCCTGGCAACCACTAATCTACTTCTCTCTACATAGATCTGCCTATTCTGGACATTTTTGTATAAATGGTATTATACAATATGTGGTCTTTTGTGACTGGCTTTGTTAACTTTGCATAATGTTTTCAAGGTTTACCCATGTACCGGTACAGTCATGCAGTGCTTAACAATGGGCTTACGTTCTGAGAAATGCTTTGTTAGTGGCTTCTGTCATTGTGCAAACACCATAGAGCATACTTACACAAACCTAGATAGTATAGCCTACTATACACCCCTAGGCTGTATGGTACTAATCTTATGGGACCACTGTCGTATGCGTGGTCCATTATTGACATGAATGTTGTTACGCGGTACATGATTGAACTTCATTTTTTTTTTTTAAGATTTTATTTTTTTCCTTTTTCTCCCCAAAGCCCCCGGGTACATAGTTGTAAATTCTTAGTTGTGGGTCCTTCTAGTTGTGGCATGCGGGACGCTGCCTCAGCGTGGTTTGATGAGCAGTGCCATGTCTGCACCCAGGATTTGAACCAACGAAACACTGGGCCGCCTGCTGCGCAGCGCGTGAACCCAACCACTCAGCCACGGGGCCAGCCCCCCCCGCAGCGTACTTCATTTTTTAATTGCTGAATAATATTACTTTGTATGGATATAACACACTTGGTTTTCCATTCATTAGTTGATGGACATTTGGGGTTTTTCTACTTTGGGGCTGTTATGAATAATGCTATTATAAGCACTAATGTACACATTTTTATGTGGACATAGGTTTTTATTTCTCTTGGGTATATAGCTACGAGTGGAATTGCTGGGTCCTATATTATTTTGAAGCAAATAACCAACTCATATAATATTATCCATACATACTTCAGTACGTATCTCTAAACAATAAGGACTCTTGTTAACATAACCACAAAAATATTACTCCACCTAAAAATTGACAATAATTCTTTGATGTCATGAAATATTCAATATTCAAATTTCTAAGAGTCTCATTAATGCTCTTTGTTTCAGTTTGTATCAATCAGGATTTACACAAGGCCTACTACTGCACCCTACTAAAGGATTAATTTTATTGCAATTGATTGGTATGTCTTTAACAGCTTTATTGAGATATAATTCACATATCATATAGTTTACTGATTTAAAGTGAAGCTGGTGGTTTTTCGTCTATCCCCCATACATTTCTTTCTTCCCATTTTAATTTTTTTATTGAGATATAATTCACATACCCTAAAATTCACCCTTTTCAAGTACACAATACAGTGATTTTTTAATATATTAACAAAGTTTTGCAACCATTACTATTCAATAATTTTCAGTGTATTCACAGAGTTATATATACAACCATCACGTCTCTTGTTAATTTTTTTACAGATTGGCACCTGAGCTAACCACTGTTGCCAATCTTCTTTTTTTTTTTCCTTTCTGCTTTTTCTCCCCAAATCCCCCCCGTACATAGTTATATACTTTAGTTGTGGGTCCTTCTAGTTGTGGCATGTGGGACGCTGCCTCAGCGTGGCCTGATGAGTGGTGCCATGTCCGCGCCTAGGATCCAAACCAGCGAAACCCTGGGCCACTGAAGTGGAGCCTGCGAACTTAACCACTCGGCCATGGGCCGGCCCGCACAAGTCTCTTTTTAATCTATAAATTTTTCCTTCCAAATCTCTTCTTCCTTTGCAATTTATTTGTTAAGAAACTTGCTTGTTTATCTTGTAGAATTTCCATTATCTGGATTTTGCTGTTTGTATCTCCGTAGTATTTTTTTATGTTCCTCCGTCCTCTGTATTTCCTATAAATTGGTAGTTACATATACATGTCTGATAAGATTCAGGTTCAATTTTTTCTACAAGACTACTTCATATTCATGTTTATGTTCTAGAGGCACATGTATCTCATCTTTCCTTTTGTGATTCTAGCAGAGGTTGATGCTCAATGGGTTGATCTCTGAATTCACTAAAGGTTGCAAAATGGTGATATTTTATCATTCATTATTTATTACTTGAAATAATCCTATAAAAAGAAAATTTCCATCACCTACTGTTTGGTTACTCAGTGGTACAGTTTCTTTAGAAAAATTAACATTTATGCATTTTGATTTTCATATTTTAGAGCCAAAGACTTTTTTTCATGTCTCAAACATTTTCATGAGCAGTACGACATTATGCTTTATGGGTAAAACACCTGCCCACCGGGACTGACAGTAGGAAAATAAGGAGGTGGGGGCAGTACGACTTAATGCTTTATGGGTAAAACACCTGCCCACCTGGACTGACAGTAGGAAAATAAAGAGGTGGGGCCAGTGTCGACATGAAATTTGCACCAAGAGGATGTGTTCTCAGTTCCAGCAGATTCTTTTTCTTCTCCGTATCACGTAAGGTTCTCCTATATGAAGCATCAAGCAAAAAAAAAGAGAAAAAGAGAAAAAGCCACCAGATCTAAGAAAAATTTTGTTTCCCTTGAGCAATTTATATGCTTTTCCCTAATCATTCATTAACATCGGTGAACAATCTATATTTTACCACTTCGCACTGTGCCCAGTAAGTTCGAAGCCAAATTTTCTGTTTAGTTTTGGAAAACAAGAATTTCTGATCTGTACATCTACATTTTCCTTCCATCTTGATCTTCCCTACCTGTTCCTGTCTTTAAGCTGACTCAAATTTTCTACGAGCAAAAAGGGGTTTGACTGAACAAAAACATTCACGTAGTCATCAGTCATCTATAAAAGTACCTTTTTCTTGGCACTCTACTCACTGCTGGGTGTTATTTAAAAAATCTTTACTAACGTAATAAGCCAGAAATAGTTTCTCACTGGGGTCTTAATTTGTATTTCTATGATTACTGGCAACCTTGAACATTTTCTCACGTTTGTTAACCAGGTCTAAAATTGCTTGGGAGGTGGCTTATATTGAACTAGGGAGGAGTTCAGCCAGTCGACTGAAAGACAAAACAAATGAATCCCAGGAATACCTCATTTTTACCTTTAAGCTTTGACTCCGCCTGTTTTTTTCCCCCTCCAAGAGAGCCCTTTGTGTGTCTCAACGGTCTGGGAAAAGGATCTCAGCCCGTAACGCTGGCGGAACACTGTATTGCCCCAGATATGTGTATTTATGTGCCTATCCTATTTCCGATTTCAGTGTTTACGGGAAAGAGATCCCGAATCCTGAACACGCCTGGAGTACGGGCAGTCGCCGGCACTCTCTCCGCAGGCGTGGCCTCTCCCACTCGGCCTTCGATTGGCCCGCCTGATCCCGCAGGCGACGGGAGCTGGTTTAGCGCGGTGGATGCGAGTGATGAGCGGCTGCTTCTGCCTTTCTCCCCCCACTTTTTTTTTTTGGCCATATCTATGGTTACCACGTCTCTCCCCGCCTCCCTCCACCTATCCAAGAAGACGACTGGCCATTGGCTGTCTGTCACGAAGGCAGGCAGTCATTGGCCACTGCGGAGGACCGGGCGCTCCCCCTTCCCCTGTCTCCCGGGTCTCTTGAGGAGCCCAGGAAGGAGGCTCCGCTAGTGCCGCCGGGCCAGGGGCTGCCGGACCCGGCTGCGGCGCTCGTTGGCGGGTCATGTCGGCCGCCCAGGGCTGGGACAGGAACCGCCGGAGGGGAGGAGGCGCCGCAGGCAGTGGTGGCGGCGGCGGAGGTAGCGGGGCCGGCGGGGGCAGTGGGGGCAGCGGGGGTCGGGGGACTGGCCAGCTCAACCGGTTCGTGCAACTCTCCGGGCGGCCGCACCTGCCAGGTGAGTCGCGAGACGTGGTCCTGTCAGCTTGCGGGCGCGGCGGGAAGGTGACGGCTTCCTTTTCTTTTCTCCCCGGCTATGTTTTCCTTGGGAGTAGAAAAGGCAGGCCCCACGCGTATCAGAAGGACTGGGGCTTAGGGAAAAGGAAAGATGTCTTTGAGGTCGGGGAGAGAACAGGAACACAGCGGAAAAAAGTAGTTTTGCTCTCTTGAAAGCTCTGTGCTGAGAGTTGTGTTTTGTTTGCAAAGGAGAGGCCGCCGTCTCATTGACATTCCCAAATGTTTCGCTTACTCGGTTCCCAGTCTCGTCCTCTTCCGCAGAGTGATCTTGTTAATGAAAGACATTAGCGCTTACCTGTGGAAAACTATTTTTAAAAGGGCGCTAAATTGAGGAGAGAAGAAGAAGAGCATGTCAAAGAGTGGTTTTGTCAAAATCAGTGTGTAAGAGGCATTCTGAAACGAGAGGAGGAGCGAGAGGGGGAGGGTTGTTGGAAGGTGGGTGGGAAACAGAACCAAGGGAATTAGGGGAAACTAGTCGGATTATTAATATTTTGGAATGTCCAGAGTCAGAATGGATAGTGTGTTTGGATTGTAATGGGAGAAAACGAAGATCAAGAATATACTTAGTGACAAAATTATGCTGTGTCTACTATATTAAAAACAGCTGATTGAGAATTGGAAAAATGTACCCAATGTGATTATTTCACGTTTTGGCGTACAATTCCCTATCCTTGAGTTCTGCTGCTGTAAAAAGACAAACCAAATCCATATGTGTGTGCAGACAGTTTTAAAGAGATACATTTGTAAGTGGTTATTCCTATAGTAGAAGGAAGGTAAGAAAGTAAATACGGCAGAGAATGTCAAATATTATATTGTGCAAGCTTATTTTTCCATGAAGAGAACTCTCAGGAACGATGTGTTAATCATTTACCATGTTTTTTGTGAATAATGTTGATTTTATCAGTGATATATTTGTTTACCTGATGAGTTTTGAGAACATGATGGTTTCCCAAATTCTATTTGCTACCATGCCTTGTATTTCTAAGTAGTCAAAATTATTTGATTAATTTGAAGATAACAAAGGGTGTTATGCACATTCAACGAGACAACTGCTTATGTTTGTGATAAAGTTACTGATGTGTGCTAAAAATGCACATTAATCCATTTATATGCACTATTAAAATTAACTTTGAGACAGCTTTAAATCATAAAATATATAATGTACCCGGAGTTGGGTTTGAGATGATCAGACTGGGTATTCCAGAATTGCTAAATATGTGATGTTTAACGTGAAAAAGAAGAAAGGAGAAGTCTTTTTTCTTACCCCAAATTAATAGCAAAAATTTACATTTTTGTGTATTGACAGATCAGAAGATAACTCTCTTGCCAAAGACTGTCACCAGTTTTCCCTCCACTACCGCAATTTTTAGGTTTTTGATCTTGAATGAATTATACCATGGGCTTCATGTAGGCATTCCCAGGCTCCAAGAGTCTGGTTGATGGACTTCCTCACTGCCACCACCTGATGGCAGTGGAAGCCATGATTTCTGATAAAGGGCTTAGGTGTGGAACTGTTTCTGCATTCCCCTAGCGTACAAGGCCAAGAACAGCCATTTGTCCAAAGGTGAAGATAAACGTGTTTAAACTGTGAAAATTCATGCAGTGGGGTCATCAGCCTGTTCTCCCTGCTTTCTTTTCCCTTTGACTGGTACTTCACTCTTCCTTACCTAAGTACGCAGCCTCCGTCTTTTCTTCATTCTTAAAATTGGGAACATCTGATATCTCAATAGATACTTTGAAATTCTTTCACACGAATTCATTATTTTCCCAAGTATTGCGTCGTAAGCCTCCCCTCCCCACTTGATTGAAAGGTTTTATTTTGAGATGTTTAAAAAGAGTCTAGGTGATGGAGAGGGATGGAAATGTCTAGGCTGTTTTATGGCTGACCCTGGAGGTAAAAAAAAACATTGTTTTTGTAGCTAACTTTCTCTCTCGAACTCTAATTGCATTTCTCGTTTTTTATCCTCCTCTACCAAGACTGTCAGATACTGAGCACCTAGAACCCTTTCTTACTTTTTGCATACCTACTCTCTATCCAGCCCCCAATAAAGCAAAACAAAACAACCTGGTCTTCCTGGAGTGTTTCTCTCTCTTTCAGTGACAGCGTCTTTTTCCATGCAGTTATGCAAACCTGAAACTTGGGCATCCTCCTTAACATTTTCCTCTCCATTGCATTTCAGGTGTAATCAATCACCAAGTCCTGTTTCTTTTATTTCTGTCATAAGTCTAGTCCATGCTGCTGTCATCCCTCATTGAGGTCTCCTGCAGTAGCTTTCTAAGCAGTTTTCTTGCTTCTGCTCTTGCCCTCCAGTTTGTACAGCACACTATTCTCCTGCAAGCACAAATCGGTTCTCATCTCTGTTTACAACCCTTTAGTAGCTTTTCATTGCTCTTAGGATAAGGCAAAAATCCTTAACATGGCCTAAAAGGCACTGCATGGTCTGGCCCCTCTTTAACTCTCTATTTAATCCTACATCATATGATCTTGCTCTTTGATCTTTCTCTGTATCCTTACACATGTCATGCTCCCTTCAGCCATAGGGCCGTTGCACATGCTATCCCATCATCCAGGAACCTTCTAATTCCTCATTCTGTTCTCTTTTCTTAAATTCTCTTACACTGGATCTCAGCTTGATCACACTGTGTTTTTTAGGGGAGTCTTCTCTGACCTTCTGATTTGTTCTCTTCTACCTACACACACTCATGGCACCATGTGGTTCTCCTTGGTCATACTTATCATTTGTGTGTAATTCCTTGATATGCATGATTTGATACTCTTGAGAGAGAGATACACACACACACACATATCAAGTATATAAGAATATGCACGTTATAATATACACACATGTTAATATGTATTCTTAAATTCTAAATTAATACATTGGCATTATGTGTAAGCAGGTAGTTTCTTGTGAATTTGATTGATTAATTTGGTTCAATCCCCTATGGCCCTGTTGACTCTGGACAAATGGGTAAGATCAAGTTCTTAAACATAAAAATGACTAGACTCAGCATCCATGGTGACAGCACAAATGCTATTTTGTGAAACCTTGTTTGAGCAACTTCTTGCCTTTTTGCTGTCTCCTAAAATACGATAGTGATTATGTGTTTGCCCCATAGGCCAAGAAATTCACAGCATCTTCGTCCTGGATTTCTACTAGCTGATAATCTATACACCCAGTAAAGAAGAGGGAACGGTGCTTTTTGTAGAATAGGTATGCACAGTAGAGCTCATGGGCAAGGTCTTGGGATAATGGAACCCGAGTTACTATTGTGATTTAACTATGTGAGTTTGATTAAATACCATGTGTTAGCTAGGAAAACAATTAAACGTTGTTGCTAACATAGGAACTGGAAAACTGAAAAAGAAAGAGGAGGAAAATTTAACAATTGGTAAAGCTGGGTAAAAATAATACTGAAATCTTAACTTAAAAATTTAAAATGTGATATATTTTCATGATATAAAATCCAAATGGTACAAAAGAGCATATGATAAAAGGCAAATTTTCCTTCTACCTTTGACCCCAGCTAATTGTCTTCCTTCCTCAGAAGCCACCAATGATAAATTTCTTGTGTATCATTTCCAGAAAGATGTGTGTGTGTGTGTGAGGAGGGGTATGGTAGCTTTTCTTTGTTTGGATGGGTATTCAAAATGTTTACAGTCTTGCTAATACGAATGATACAGTGAATATCCCTGTACCTATATCCTTTTGCACGAGTGAGTCTGTCTTTAGAATAAATTCCTAGAAGTACAATTGCTGGGTCAAAGGATATGTACTATTTAAGTTTTGATCGATCATTGTCAAATTGCCCTCTCTAGAGGTTGTACCAGTATATGTTCCACTATGGATGTTGGAGTGCTGGCCTCCTATACCCTTGGGAACAAAGTGGGTTCTCACACTTTTTTTAAATTAACCAATTTAATAGGTATATTTTTCTTCATCTTTTCAATAGGTATAAGAGCCATATTTGTTTCCTTTATTTATAACATCTACTTGTATTTTTTATTCATCTGGTTGTATTTTCTGTTCATTATTCTATTAGGATGTTTAATACTGTTTGTAGGAACTCTATGTTTTAAGGAAATTAGTTCTTTGTCTTTGATATGTGTTGCAGATATTTTTCAGTTTGTTACTTGGCTTTTGACCTTGTTTATGGTATATTTTTTCAGCACAAATGTAAAAGTTTTTTGTAGTTGCGATTACCATCATTTTTGGGTTTTGGGTTTTGTGTCGTAAGAAAGGCCTTCCCTATTTTGATATTGTTTCTAATTAAAATACAAACAAAAATTCTAGTGTTTTTTCCTAGTACTTTATAATTTTAAGTTAAGTGCACTTATCCATACAAAATAAAAGTTGCATGATGTATTGAGGTAGGAAGCCAACTTTACTTTTCTTCCAGGTGGCTACCCAGTTATCGCAGTATTGACGTTCTGTCTATAGGTATACTTAGTTCCGACGTAAACTTTGGGGTTCTTGCTGGACTTTTATCCTGTTTCATTGATCAGTTTACCTGTTTATACGTAATGATCCCATTCATTGATTATAGTCCTTTTTCATTCTATTTTCCAGAGTTTTCCTGAATATTCTTTTTTGCTTATTTTTCCATAAAACTAGAATTCATTTATCAAGCTCCCCTCCCCTATCCTGTTGGTATTTTTGTTGGTACTGCATTAAATTTATCAATTGATGTAGAGATAGTTGACTTTATTGAGGTTCAGTCTTCCTTTCAAGAATGGAGTATATAGTCATTTCTTGTTGTTTGTCTTCTTTTGCATCCCTCAATAACATTTCAAAGTTTTTTCATATAGACCTTTCACATTTCTTGTTATGTTTATTCCTTGGTATTTTATCTTTTTGTTGCTATTGCAAGTGGGGTTTCTACTTCTGTCTTTTACCTTGTTCTTTGACTATGGAAATGCTATTGATTTCTGAGTAATAATTTTGTCCCTAGCCACCTTTGGAATTATAATGCTATCTGTAATACTTTCCCAGTTGTTTTTCTAGGGTAGCAGTTAAATAATTATATCAATACCAAATAAAGATAATTTTGTGTCCTCTTTTCCAATTTTTATGCTTATTTCCTTCTTTTGTCAAGTTGATTTGACTAGTACTTTGCAAAAATATTAAACAGTAAGATAGTAGTGGATCTTTGTCTTATTCCTAACTTCAATGGGATGTTTTTAGAGCTTTCCTATTAAGATTAGACCTGACCTTAGATTGAAGTGTCCATATTTTAGCATGTTAAAGTAGTCAGCTGTTACCACTTTATTAAGATTTTTTAATATGGAAGTAAATTTTGTCAAATGCCTTTTCAGCTTCCCTGGGAAATATGTAATTTTTCTCCTTTGATCTGTTATTGTGGTGAATTGTACGAATAGATTTGCTATTACTGAACCATCTTTACATTCCTGAATCAACTCACTTTGTCATTGTGTATTATTATTTTAAATATGCTGCTGGGTTCTGTTTGCTAAGCTTTTTTTTAAGAAATTTTGCGTCACTCTCAAGATTTGATTAAATTGCCCATGAAATCGTTTGGACTTTGAGTATTTTGTGGGGAGAGTAGCCCTTTGACAGATATCTCTAGTTCTGTGATAATTTGGCTGCTTACAATTTATGTCTTTTGGGGGAAGCTTTGATAACTGATATTATCCTAAAAAATAATCCATTTCATCTAAGTTTTCAAAATTATTTGTGTGAAGTTGAGCAAGATATTCTTTTACGACTTTTAAAAAATTTCCTGAGCCTGGTGCGCTCTGCTTAGGCAGCCTGGGTTTGATTCCTGGGCGTGAAACCAAACCACTCATCTGTCAGTAGCCATACTGTGGTGGTGGCTCACATAGAAGGATTACAAGGACTTACAGCTAGAATATACAACTATGTACTGGGGGCTTTGGGGAGAGAAGGAAAAAAGAGGAAGATTGGCAACAGATGTTAGCTCAGGATGAATCTTTCCCAGCAAAAAAAAAAAAAAAATTTTCCTGTGTCTGTGACTGTGATTACATTATCACTAACTCTGTTGCTTCTTATTTTGTACATGCGAGGGCTTGCCCTTTTTTCTTGTTTAGAACCAGCTCTTGGATTTTTTAAGATTAGGTCTACTATTTTATCTTTTCTTTTTTTTTTTCAAGATTGGCACCTGAGCTAACAACTGTTGCCAATCTTCTTTGTTTTATTTTTTTTTCCTTCTTCTACTCCCGAAAGCCCCCCCAGTACATAGTTGTATATGCTAGTTGTGAGTGTCTCTGGTTGTGCTATGTGGGACGCCATCTCAGTGTGGCTTGACGAGCAGTGCCATGTCTACACCCAGGATCTGAACCAGTGAAACCCTGGGCTGCTGAAGCAGAGTGCGCCAACTCAACCACTTGGCCGGCCTCTCTTTTTTTATTTATTATTTTTGTCATTGTTTTAAATTCTTCCTTTAGCTTTCCTTAGATTTATTTTGTGGTTGTTTTTCTATCTTCTCATGTTGGATGTTTAGTGTTCCTTTCATTCTTTCCAAGTGTTTAAATTATAAGATTTCTTCTGAATACTGCTTTAGTTGTGTCCTGTAGGTTGTAGGCTTCTTGTAGTTATTTTCTAAATATCTTGCAATTGTCTATCTATTTTCTTTTGCACAAGAGTAGTTAATCCTTTTAAACTTTATCTCTTAACATTTCCATTTATATGTTTTTAAAAGCTTTATTGAGATATAGTTCACATACCATACAATTCACCATTTAAAATATACAATTCAGAGGCTGTCCTGGTGATGTAGTGGTTAAGTTTGTGTGCTCCACTTCGGTGGCCCTGGGTTCACAGGTTTGGATCCCAGGTGCGGACCTACACACTACTCATCAAGCCATGCTGTGGCAGGCGTCCCACATACAAAATAGAGAAATATTAGCACAGGGAAAATCTTACTCAAGTGAAAAGAGGAAGATTGGTAACAGATGTTAGTTCAGGGCCAATCTTCCTCCCCCCCTCCCAAAAAAAAGTAGTATACAGTTCAGTGGTTTTTAGTGTATTCGAGTATGTGCAATTATTATCACAGTCAATTTTAGAACATTTTCATCACCTCAAGAAGAAAGCCCATATCTTTTAGTTGTCACTCCTTTATCCTCCTGCTCCCATCTCCTCTACCCCCTAAGCAGCTGCTAACCTACTTCCTGTCTCTATAGATTTCCCTATTATGGACTTTCTCATATGAATGGAATCATATAGTATGTCGTCTTTTGTGACTGCCTTCTTTCACTTTGCATAATGTTTTCAAAGTTCGTCGGTGTTGAAGCAAGTTTCAGTACTTCATTCCTTTTTTATGGCTAAATAATAATCCATTGTATGGATATACCACATTTTGTTTATCCATTATCAATCGATGGACATTTAGATTGTTTCCATTTTTTAGCTGTTATGAATAATGTTGCTATAAACATTTGTGTATAGATTTCTGTGTGGACGTATGTTTTCATTTCTCTTAGGTATATATCTAGGAGTAGAATTGTTGGGCCATATGGTAACTCTGTGTTCTGGGTTTAATCATTTGAAGAACTGCCATACTTTTCCAGAGCAGCCAGAATTTTACATTCCTACAGGCTGTGTATGAAAGTTCCACTTTCTCCATGTCTTTGTCAACATTTGTTTTTATCTGACTTTTTGATTCTAACCATCCTAGTGCGTATGAAGTGGCATCTCGTCATGGTTTTTGATTTACCTTTCCCTGATGACTAATGATGTGAAGCATCCTTTCTTTCATTTTTATATTTTATATTTATATATAATTAAATTATATATAATTAATAATTATATACAATTTTATATTTATTTTTCTGTATTTTTCAGCTGTTTTGAGGTATAATTGTCATTGAACATCTTTTCATGTGCTTGTTGACTAATTGTATGTCTTTTTTGGAGAAATGTCCATTAGATCCTTTGCCCGATTTTTAATTGGATTACTTGTCTTTTTATTATTGAATTATAAGAGCTCTTTATATATTGTAGATACAAGTCCCTTGTCAGATGTATGATTTGCAAATATTTTTCCTGTTCTCTGCTTGTCTTTTCACTTTCTTAAATGTGTCCTTTGAAGCACAAAAGTTTTAATTTTTATGAAGTCCAATTTATCTGTTTTCTTCTTTTGTTGCTTTTGGTGTCATGTCTAAGAATCCTTTGCCAAATCCAAGGTCATGAAGACTTACTCCCGTGCTTTTTCCTAAGAGTTTTATAGTTTTCCT